GCCAAGCAATCAATAAAACTGGAATGTAAGACTAGTATTCCTTCCACCAATACTCAGTATCCGTGTTGATGGAAGAAGCAGTCAGCTGGTCGATTAGTCGAGATGCATGCAAATTGGCACAAACACCACCAGTACACACACATATTAATTGATATTATAATACAAAGTTTTCTCCTTTCATTTCATCTTAATATATGTAATACAAATTCGCTCTAACACTTGGAGAAAAAAGAAAAAAAATAGCACTCTGCAAGTAGAGCTAAAATTAAATTACACAGGACACAAGCATAAAACTGCAAATATAGTCAATTAATCTCCTCTTTCATTTCTTCTCAACATATACTCTGCAAATCTGTGCTTAGAAATTATATTTTTTTTAAAAACAAGTAAAGCTAAAATTAAACAACATAGATCACCAGCACTAAAAAAAACTGCAAACATACTCCATTGATCGCCGCCTATTACACAATAAATTTTTTCTTCTTCACACCACAAATTCAGGTAAAATTTCAGAAAAATACACTTACAAATCACAAAAAGTGAAAACTTTGATTTCACACAAAATCGACACTTCAAAATGAAACGATAATTCGCGAGATTAAAACTGATGAATTTTCCACAGCCAACAACATTAAAAGCAATGATGAAAAAAGCTTCAACACTTAAAAGTTTCTCCTCGTTTGATGCGCAGAGAAAATAGTTTTGCAGAGAAATTCGCAGAGAAACATGCAAATTTGTGCTTAGAAATTAAAATAACAGGTAAAAAAGTTAAATTAAACAACACAGAACACCAGCACTAAAAAAAACTGCAAACATACTCCATTGATCGCCGCCTATTACACAATAAATTTTTTCTTCTTCACACTACAAATTCAGGTAAAATTTCAGAAAAATACAATTACAAATCACACAAAGCGAAAACTTTGATTTCACACAAAATCGACACTTCAAAATGAAACGATAATTCGCGAGATTAAAACTAATGAATTTTCCACAGCTAACAACATTAAAAGCTGTTAAGATGAGAGACTTGGGAGGATGAAAACCTCCATTAGAGATGAGAACACAGAGCTCAATTGAGAGAAGAAGAGTGAAAATATGTATATTAACTTGTTGCTTACAACGGTAGCTCACAAATGTATTTATACAGCTAAGTAAGAAAATATCTAAATCCTAACTAACTTGAAGAGAAAAGAATAGCTGCCACATGATTGACAGATGTATACAACTAACTCTAACAAACTCAATGTAATTAATATGTCATGTACACTAATTTAAGTTACTTAATCTCAATACCCCCCTCAAGTTGGAGAAGTAATCGAAACCAACTTGTCTAAGAGAGCAGAATGCTTGATGCCAGTGAGGGCTTTGGTAAGAATGTCAGCTAACTGAGCATTACTGTCAATGTGGTGCAAGGTAATGAGTCCCTCTTGCAGTTTAGTCCTCACAAAATGGCAATCAACTTCAATGTGTTTCGTACGTTCATGGAATACAGGATTCCTTGCAATGTGAATGGCTGCCTGGCTATCACAGTACACAGAGAATGGCCCAGTCTGAGGTACATTCAATTCTTCAAATAACCTTTGCAACCAAGTCAATTCACCTACAACCTTTCTCAAGGATCTGTACTATGCTTCAGCTGAGGAAAGGGAAATTGTTTCTTGTTTCTTGGACTTCCAGCTAACAGGGCTATCTCCCAACAACACAATATAACCACTAACCGACCTCATTGAGTCAGGGCATGCAGCCCAGTCAGAGTCACAGTAGGCCTGTACCCTAAAGTTCGCAGATGAGGACATAAAAACACCTAGAGTGGGATCCTTCTTGAGATACCTGAGCATGTGAAAAGCAGCATGTAGATGAGGTTCCCTAGGATCCTGCATGTATTGACTAAGAAGCTGCACACCATAAGCAAGATCAAGTCTAGTGTTTGTAAGAAAACTCAACTTGCCAACTAGCTTTCTATAATAAATAGGATCAGCTATGGCTTTCCCTTCATGTGATTTTAGTTTGACATTTGGATCAAGGGGAGAAGACAATGGAGTCATGTGATCACATTTGAATTCCTTAAGAAGGTCCAAGACAAATTTCCTTTGAGAAATCAGAATCCCATCATCTTTGTACAGAATTTCCAGACCCAAGAAGTAATGCAGTCTTCCAAGATCTTTGATCTTGAACTGATTGTCAAGGAACCTCTTGAGCTCATTAATTTCAGCAATGTTTGTTCCTGTGAGCAGGATGTCATCAACATAAACACCTAGAAACACAATAGAAGTACCTCTTTTCCTGTAAAACAAAGAGTAATCATGGAGGGAATGAACATAGCCTCTTGTGTGAAGTGTTTCAGTCAGTTTTTCATACCACTGTCTACTAGCCTGTTTCAGACCATATAAGGACTTGTTAAGTCTACAAACTGCATCTTTGTGAGGAATGACTAGACCTAGTGGTACATCCATATATACTTCCTCATGTAGATCTCCATGGAGAAATGCATTGTTAACATCAAGTTGATATATATCCCACTGTTTCTTTGCAGCAGTGGCAATGAGTGCCCTCACAGTTGTCATCTTGACAACAGGTTTTGTATAGTCTATACCATGATGCTGAGTATATCCCTTCACCACCAACCTAGCTTTATACCTTTCTATGCTCCCATCAACCTTGTGCTTGACTTTGTAAACCCACCTGCACCCAATAGCCTTCTTACCAATTGGTAGAGTTGTGAGAGTCCAAGTGTTGTTGTCATGTAAGGTAGTAAATTCTTGTGTCATAGCTCTTTGCCAAGCAGGATCCATGGATGCTGCCTCAAACGAGTTAGGTTCACAATCATGAGAAACATTCATCACAAAAGACCGACTGTCAGGAGCTAGAGCAATAGGTGAGACATGGTTCCTAGGGGAAAACAGGGCACTGAGAGATGAAGAGGATGGTGTAGATGATGTAGCTGGAGAGGGAATTGTGTGCACATAATCAGGGATCTTGTGTGCTCTTTGTGATTTTCTAAGGGGAAGAGAGAGTGTCTACAGGTGAAGTATGTTGAATTAAGGTGGAAGGAACAGGTTGACATGATGTGTTATCAGTAGCAGGTGCATTAACAGGGACAACATCATCAGCTATTTGGTCCTGATTATTTTGTTCAGAGGGAAGAGAATTACAATTATCATTATAGGACAAGGGATAATCATTTAGAGTCACAGAGTGAAAAGGGAAAGATGGGAAATGGGCAGTATCTTTAGACATGGCAAAAGGAAAAATGGTTTCATGAAAAATAACATCCCTTGACACATGGATTTTCTGAGTGGTCAAATTCAAAACTTTGTAACCCTTTGTGGCATAAGGATATCCAACAAATACATGTGGCATGGCCTTTGGTTCAAATTTGGTTCTGTGGGTTTTTGGAATGGTGGGGTAACAAAGGCACCCAAAACTCTTTAGGTGTGAATATAATGGCTTTTGTTGATATAAAATCTCATAAGGGCACTTATTGTGGAGAGGGGAAGAGGGAAGTCTATTGATGAGATATGTGGAGGTAAGTATACACTCACCCCAATACTTTACTGGAAGTTTGGATTGGAAAAGGAGAGCCCTTGTTGTTTCAAGAATGTATTTGTGCTTTCTTTCCACTACCCCATTTTGTTGGGGTGTATAAGGACAGGATTTTTGGTGGATAATTCCCTTGTTCTGGAAAAACATAATGGATTCATTATTAGTGAACTCCAGCCCATTGTCTGCTCTAATTGTTTTAATGGTGGTTTTGAACTGGTTTTCAACCATGAGGATAAAAGCTTTGATGATATATAGGGCATTGCTTTTACTGCTAAGAAGATGTGTCCAAGTTGATTTGCTGAAGTCATCAACCAAGGTGATAAAATACTTAAAATTGTCATGAGTTGCTGTTTGGTAAGGGCCCCAGAGGTCAACATGTAGTAATTCAACAATACTGGTACTATTGTTAGACTTAGATGGAAAAGGTAATCTAGATTGCTAGCCATTGGGCATATAACGCAAAAAAAAAGGTTGTTTTGGTGAAAAAGTCACAAGTATAGAGGATATGCCTTTCATTTTTACAAAGGGTACATGACTAAGTCTGTAATGCCACAGTAAATCCATGCTATCAGTAGGAAAAGAATTGAAAGATTTGTCTACAACATTTTCTTTATTGTTAACAAAGGAAGAGTTTATTACATTTGAATGAGAAAAGCATGAGTGAGAAACACATTGACAATGTATTTTATTGCTAGGGAAAGGAAAGTATGAAGTAGAATGTTGTTGTGCATTGGAGCTGGTCTTTTGCAGACAGTCTGAGCAAAGGAAGTAGTGACCATCATGAACTTTACCAATCTCCAGAGGCCTCTTCAGTGAAGTGAAGGGGCCTGTAGTATACAAGAATTGTTAGAAAAAGAAATAGTACATTTGAGGTGATCTACTAGAGAATTTATCAAGATTAAGTTGTATTTGAAAGAAGGAGCATAGAGTACTCCGGACAGAAGATCAATCTTGGGAGTAAGATGCACATTACCCACCTCTGTAACTTTGACTCTATATCCATTTGGTAATCTGACTAACATAGGATATGGGAGAGTGATCATATTCACAAGATGGTTCTTGTTAAAAGTCATATGGTGAGAAGCTCCTGAGTCTAATATCCATAAGTCAGTCTTTGTTTTGAAACATTCACATGAGAGTTTAATAACATCAGGAGAGAAAGAACAAGCAAAGATACCTGCAAAGCTCCCAGCTCCACATGTTAAGCATTTTGATCTACCACAGTGTTGGTGTCCTGGAACTGGTCTAACAAATGAGCAACTTGATCATATTGTTCCTTGGTGATACTTATGTTTTGACCTCCTTGTGCGTCAAATTGAGAGCCTGATTCCCCTTTCTGATTAACAACAGTTCCATCATAGGATATTCTCACAGAATTAGAATTCTGCTACACCCTTTCCCTTATTGTTGTACCTGTGATTTGGGTAAGTACTGTGGGCTTGTCTTGAATTGTACTAATCAGTGTTAGGAGCTTTCTGATGCTGGTTTGTGCCATAATTGTTGGAGGATTGAGAATTTAAAGAGTTTGGAGGTGGTCCACCAGATGGATAACCATGTAACTTGTAGCATTTGTCCTTAACATGACCTGGCCTTCTACAGAATTCACAAAAAGGTCTGCCCCTAGGAGCATTAGTGTTAGGAGAATAGTTTGTTCGAAAGTTTCTTCCTCCTGGTACATCTGGTGAACTTGCAATGAGCGAACTACTTTCAGCAAACATTTGGTTGTTAGGCTTGAATTCCCTCTGTTCTTCCTCTTGTATCAACAAAGCAAAGGCTTGTGCCATAGAAGGCAACGGATTCATCATCAAAATACTCCCCCTAATCGTGGTATACACCACATTTAAGCCCATGAGAAACTGAATTAAACGTCTATCTTGCTCTGCCTTATGAGTATTTGCCTTAGCTCCACAGATACACACACAATTGCATTGACTTAAAACACACAAATTGTTCAATTCTTCCCAAAGTTTCTTCATGCAAGTGTAGTATGTAGTGATATCGAGAATACCTTGACTGAGATCATTGATTTCCTTCTGAGTTTGATACAATTTTGCTCCATTTGTCTGATCGTAACGATCCACCAGTTCCATCCACAGCTCTAGTGCATCACTGACATACTCGACACTATCTGCAATGTCTCGACCTAGAGAATTGAGAATCCAGGACATAACCATATCATCGCCTCTCACCCATTGACGATAAGTGGAATGAGTCGCGTCTGGTCTTTTACATTCGCCATTGATGAAAACTAGCTTGTTCTTCACTGATAAGGATCGAAGCACACTACGACGCCAGGAATGAAAACCAGTGCCATCAAAAGGAACGGGCACAAGTACTGCACCAGGACTATCTGAGGGATGAATGTAGAAAGGACTTCATGTATCAACTCCAGAGGAAGTAGAATTGCTTGCTGAAGCAGTGCTCGCAGATGTGAGTTCCACCATTTTTTATCAGAAATAAAGGAAAATTGAAGAGAATTGGGGAAAAGACATAATCTGGTAAGGTAATCAAAGATGAAGAGGAAGAACAAATCGTCCTTGCTCCGATACCATGTTAAGATGAGAGACTTGGGAGGATGAAAACCTCCATTAGAGATTAGAACACAGAGCTCAATTGAGAGAAGAAGAGTGAAAATCTGTATATTAACTTGTTGCTTACAATGGTAGCTCACAAATGTATTTATACAGCTAAGTAAGAAAATATCTAAATCCTAACTAACTTGAAGAGAAAAGAATAACTGCCACATGATTGACAGTTGTATACAACTAACTCTAACAAACTCAATGTAATTAATATGTCATGTACACTAATTTAAGTTACTTAATCTCAATAAAAGTGATGATGAAAAAAGCTTCAACACTTAAATCTTTCTCCTCGTTTGATGCGCAGAGAAAATAGCTTTGCAGAGAAATTCGCAGAGAAACATGCAAATTTGTGCTTAGAAATTAAAATAACAGGTAAAAAAGCTAAAATTAAACAACACAGAACACCAGCACTAAAAAAAACTGCAAACATACTCCATTGATCGCCGCCTATTACACAATAAATTTTTTCTTCTTCACACCACAAATTCAGGTAAAATTTCAGAAAAATACACTTACAAATCACAAAAAGCGAAAACTTTGATTTCACACAAAATCGACCCTTCAAAATGAAACGATAATTCGCGAGATTAAAACTGATGAATTGTCCACAGCTAACAACATTAAAAGCGATGATGAAAAAAGCTTCAACATTTAAAAGTTTCTCCTCGTTTGATGCGCAGAGAAAATAGTTTTGCAGAGAAATTCGCAGAGAAACATGCAAATTTGTGCTTAGAAATTAAAATAAAAGGTAAAAAAGCAAAAACTAAACAACACAGAACACCAGCACTAATAGAAACTGCAAACACACTCAATTGATCGCCTATTACGCGATAAATCAACATCACTAATTCAGCAAAAATTTACGATAAAAACACTTGCAAATAAAATAAAATAAAAATGAAAAAAATTGTTTTCACATAAAATTGATACTGCAATTGAAACGATGATTCGCGATATTGTAAAAACTTTCAAATTGATGATGAAATTAGCTTCGATACTTACAAATTTCTCCTTGTTTGATGCGCAGAGAGAATGATTTTGCTGAGAAATTCAGATTTTTAACGTGTGTACATGTAGAAGCAATGAGAATGCTTAAGGATTTCAAGTTTCAAGTGTATTTAGAAAGAGAAAAATGGTGGAGAAAAAATAGGCTAAGTTAGGGTCACAATTTTTTTACATGAGCTCTCAGGAGGACAAAGAAGCAGATGAAGATTTTAGGGAAATTGGGGTTTAAGTAATCAGGTGTAGTGCATGTGCAAATTATTCAGTGTACAACACATTGTGGATCGTTGATTAGTTTTTTTTTTCTCATTTTAGTCTAATAATAATATATTTTTGTGTAATCGACTTGAGGGGATGTTGGATGTGTGTGGATTTTCCCCCTTTGCGGAATTTAAAAAACTTGTTTTCGATAGACCTTCCTTTTTATAACAACGCATTATCAAAAGGAGCTAGAAAGAATAGCTAAAAATAACGCAAAGTGGTAAGATGAGCATGGACAATTAAGCAATACGTAACAAATAAAAAAGATGAAGTCAAAGATTTTAAAGCTACAGTTTGATTATAAATTTTGAATTAAATTCTAAACAATTATTTTAAAATGCATGTTCAATTCGAATTTATACTTTAAAATCTATAGTCAAATAGGAGCTAAACATGTACTAATATTACTATTATCATGTACTAATATTACTATTATACAAATTTGATTTCTCTTGTTGGATGCTTAATTTTTTGCTTATACCTCTCTTGCCTTTGCTTAATTTATTTTACAACAGTAAAATAGGTGAATAAATCTCTATTCTTGTCATTTTTTTATGTTCTTTTGATTCATCATTTTGTAAATAATAAAAATGTCTAGAGATTTTGCCAAAACACTTGCAAGTATGCATGATGTCGTATTGTAAATTCTACATGTAACTCTTAAAATAATATTGAAAAATAACGTAATCGTACTAATATCAAAAGAAATCCCAAATTGAAATGATTTCGAAAAATTTAATTTTTCTAAATATAAAATGAAATAATAATTGATAAGATATCATTTTTAGAATATAATCGACCAAATCGAAACATTTAAATTTACCCATTTGTCTTAACTTTCTTTCATAAAATAAATCTTCTGGTTAATACATGAAGTAATCCTACTATCTTCAAAAGAAAGAAAACTAATTACTATGACATTCCATATAAATAAAATGATAATAAGGAAATAAAATTATTTACACGCCAAAAATATAAATGGAATACAACTTTAAATGATAAACTTACTTTTATTTTGTTTACTAGCTAGTATACCATCAAACATTTTTATAACGGTCCGCTAATATCAACATTTTATTAGTCAAAAGATATTCAAATACAAACAAGGTTTGATTATTTGTCCAATTCTCAATATTTAAAGGACCATAATTTTACAATATCATAAATACCAAATCTTACCCTATTTATGGTCTGATTTTTTTCATTCTTCAAATTCCAAACATATCATAGAATTTTCCCTATATAATAAAGATTATTGTATAGCATAAGCTTCATAGAAAAAATCATTTTGGGCTTCTTTCACTTTTTTTTTTGTTTTCCATTTATCAAAAATGGAATTGAACTTGGAATTCATTTCCACAAAACTCATAAAACCATCCATACCAACACCACAACACCTTAAGAATTACAAGTTATCGTTCTTCGATCAGCTCGCGGAGAGGGAACATATGCCATTACTACTTTTCTATTCACATGATAACAACAACAACGATGACAAGTTTGATGAGAAACTCGAAAAATCCCTATCCAGAATTTTATCTCATGTTTATCCTGCAGCAGGAAGGTTGTCAAGGGATCGATGTTCAATCGATTGCCTTGACCAAGGTGTTAAGTTTACAAAAGCCAAAGTCAATTGTAAATTCAATGATTTCATCAATCAGATCCAAAATGACCTAAATCTCGCCCTGTTTTTCTTCCCTCAGGATATCCAGAATTTGAAGGACGCGGATTTTGACAGTACTCCACCTATGGTTGTACAAGTGACAAAGTTCGAATGTGGTGGTATTGCTATCTCAATTAGTGCATCGCACCCTGTAATGGATGGATTCAGTAATTTCAAATTCGTTTACGAGTGGGCTAAAGTGTGTAAATTGGGGATTTCAGCTAATCAGATTGATTTCATGAGTTTTGATTTTGGTGAGATTCTTCCAGCAAGAGATTTATCGAGTATTTTCCCAAATCGTGTTCATCCAGTAGAATTAGAAGCAAAATTTATAGCTAAGAGATTTTTTATTAATGAACAGACGATATCGTCTCTCAGAGACAAGTTTACAGGGGCGATAAATTCAGGGGAACTATGCTTTAAGCCTTCAAGAGTTGAAATTATTACAGCAATTTTATGGAGGGCTTTAATTCGTGTTTCAGAAGCAAAACACGGGTATTTGAGACGTTCATTAGTGTTTTTCCCTGTGAATTTACGCGGAAAAATCTCATTACATCTAAAAGAAAACGCGTTTGGGAATTATGTAATGGATGCTCCAATTCTATTTGTACCCAAGAAGAACAAAATGGAGCTTCATGATTTTGTAACGTTGATTAGGAATTCGGTGCAAAAAGCTATTGATGCTTGTGCTATAGGTTCAGCTGATGACATAATCGCGACTGTGGCTAATTCATACAAGGAAATTTTCTCGTCAAAAGAATGGGGAACTGACAATGATGAAGTTGACAAGTGTATAATTTCGAGTTTGTGTAAGTTTCCGATGAAGGATGCTGATTTTGGTCGAGGAAAACCAAGTTTGATGCATTTTGGATTAAGAAATTTTCATAGTTGTTGGATGTATGATGCAGAATGTGAAAGTATTTGTGTGCAAGTGGACTTGAAGGATAGTTATATGAGTTTATTTGAATGTGAAAGTGATATCAAGGCTTTTACCAATGGAAATCAAGAGAGAATTCAACTGCAGCCATTACTGTAACCAGAAAAGTGTGAAACTCATTCTCAAGCACTTACTGAGAGTTATATTACTTATGGATTATTTTTTTTTTGGACCATGATGTTAAGGCATTTGCTAAGTTTTTAGAGTTTTCTATGTTTTTTTTTTGGTCATCTTTCTAGTTTGTCTAGTTTATTGTTATTGAGTTAACAAGTTTTTAATGATTATAAAAAAATAAATATTGAATTATCAATTTGATTTGATTTTTTTTAGCTTTGCATTATTGAGTAAACCAATAACCCAGTAGTCATTTCCTCAATTACCTCCAGCAAGAGATTTATCGAGTATTTTCTCAAATCATGTTCATCCAGTAGAATTAGAAGCAAAATTTATAGCTAAGAGATTTTTTATTAATGAATAGACGATATCGTCTCTCAAAGACAAGTTAACAGGGGCTATAGATTCAGGGGAACTATGATTTAAGCCTTCAAGAGTTGAAATTATTACAACAATTTTATGGAGGGCTTTAATTCATATTTCAGAAGCAAAACACGGATATTTGAGACGTTCATTAGTGTTTTTCCCTGTGAATTTACGCGGAAAAATCTCTTTACCTTTAAAAGAAACGCGTTTGGGAATTATGTAATGGATGCTCCAATACTATTTGTACCCGAGAAGAACAAAATGGAGCTTCATGATTTTGTAACGTTGATTAGGAATTCGGTGCAAAAAGCTATTGATGCTTGTGCTATAGGTTCAGCTGATGACATAATCGCGACTGTGGCTAATTCATACAAGGAAATTTTCTCGTCAAAAGAATGGGGAACTGACAATGATGAAGTTGACAAGTGTATAATTTCGAGTTTGTGTAAGTTTCCGATGAAGGATGCTGATTTTGGTCGAGGAAAACCGAGTTTGATGCATTTTGGATTAAGAAATTTTCATAGTTGTTGGATGTATGATGCAGAATGTGAAAGTATTTGTGTGCAAGTGGACTTGAAGGATAGTTATATGAGTTTATTTGAATGTGAAAGTGATATCAAGGCTTTTACCAATGGAAATCAAGAGAGAATTCAACTGCAGCCATTACTGTAACCAGAAAAGTGTGAAACTCATTCTCAAGCACTTACTGAGAGTTATATTACTTATGGATTATTTTTTTTTGGACCATGATGTTAAGGCATTTGCTAAGTTTTTAGAGTTTTCTATGTTTTTTTTTTGGTCATCTTTCTAGTTTGTCTAGTTTATTGTTATTGAGTTAACAAGTTTTTAATGATTATAAAAAAATAAATATTGAATTATCAATTTGATTTGATTTTTTTTAGCTTTGCATTATTGAGTAAACCAATAACCCAGTAGTCATTTCCTCAATTACCTCCAGCAAGAGATTTATCGAGTATTTTCTCAAATCATGTTCATCCAGTAGAATTAGAAGCAAAATTTATAGCTAAGAGATTTTTTATTAATGAATAGACGATATCGTCTCTCAAAGACAAGTTAACAGGGGCTATAGATTCAGGGGAACTATGATTTAAGCCTTCAAGAGTTGAAATTATTACAACAATTTTATGGAGGGCTTTAATTCATATTTCAGAAGCAAAACACGGATATTTGAGACGTTCATTAGTGTTTTTCCCTGTGAATTTACGCGGAAAAATCTCTTTACCTTTAAAAGAAACGCGTTTGGGAATTATGTAATGGATGCTCCAATACTATTTGTACCCGAGAAGAACAAAATGGAGCTTCATGATTTTGTAACGTTGATTAGGAATTCGGTGCAAAAAGCTATTGATGCTTGTGCTATAGGTTCAGCAGATGATATAATCGCGACTGTGGCTAATTCATACAAGGAAATTTTCTCGTCAAAAGAATGGGGAACTGACAATGATGAAGTTGACAAGTGTATAATTTCGAGTTTGTGTAAGTTTCCTATGAAGGATGCTGATTTTGGTCGAGGAAAACCGAGTTTGATGCATTTTGGATTGAGAAATTTTCATAGTTGTTGGATGTATGATGCAGAATGTGGAAGTATTTGTGTGCAAGTGGACTTGAAGGATAGTTATAGGAGTTTATTTGAATGTGAAAGTGATATCAAGGCTTGTACCAATGTTCTTGAAAATCAAGAGCGGATTCAATTGCAGCCGTTACTATAACTAGAAGAGCGTGAAACTCATTCTCAAGAACTTGCAAAAAAAATTTCTTATGAATTTTATAGTAATTCTAAGAGTTATATTTATTTATCAATGTTGTTTTTTTTGGACGATGATGTCAAGGCATTTGCTAAGTTTTTAGAGTTTTCTATGTTGTTTTTTTGGTCATCTCTCTAGTTTGAAATTAACTAAGTGTTCTTTACTCCAATATTACTTGTTAAAATATTACTTATAAGATTAGCTCAACCTTGTCTAATTATGAAAAAAAGAATAATGTGAGAGATATTCATGTGTTGGGATTAATAGCCAAATATTTTAATAGATATTCTATTTGCTTATAAAAATTGTTTTAGGTCATATATTTGAATAGATATTTTATTTGTTTTGAAATCTTCGTATATGTATTTCAAGCATAGTGAAAATAATCTACATTCTTTAATATTGCTTTAAAATTAATCTCCTTCATCCTTCAATAATTTGACATTTTTATCCCCTTATCTCAAACGAGTCAAAATTAGGGGTGAGCAAAAATCGAAAAAATGTTATTGGCTTATTGATTATTTTTTTTAAAAAAATCTACCCCTCTCCCAGGAGCTTCCACCTTTTTGTTCCCTTAGTGACTCGAAGTGAGGAGTATTTACTATTCAAGCAACTGCCTTTTGTCTAGTTTATTGTTATTGAGTTATTGGATTAATGGGTTTTTAATGATTTTATAGATAAAAAAATATTATCGGATTATCAGTTCAATTTTGTTTTTTTTTTTAGTTTTGGATTGTTGAGTAAACCGATAACCCGGTAAGAAGGTAGTCATTTTCTCATTTACCTCTGCATAAATATAGTAAATATTTATTTCAGTATATATATTTTAATGGTTACTACCTTTAATTTGTCTTTAGCCTTCGATTCACATTATTGTCCTAGTTCTTTTATTTGTATTGCACTTGTGTATGTAGTGTTGGAAAACTATATGCACAGCGGAAGCATACTAGAATCTTACGGTTTACATGAATAATAGATAACCAATATTGTTTATGCTAGACCACATAATCATGCTAGAACACATAAACATACTGAAATTTAATTCGATAAATACCTCTTGAAGCATGAACAGATACCTTCAACCGAATCCCCTGGTTAGACAGTCCTTCAAGTGAATCTACAAGATAGCCATGGTCTTCTACAGTGATCCCAAGTTCACATCTGAACTCTCTCAATACTTGGGTGGGCAAGTATCGAATAGAAAATTAATCCATTTAAGGCAAGAAGAATCCCTAATCATAGAGATTTCTTCACAGTACAAAGAGGAGAACCAAACACACGTTAATTTTCTTCAACCGAAAAATACATGCTAGTTTTTTTTTTATAAAAAAACTAACGCATCTCCCCTTTTCCCTTTAGAATTAGGATTCTGAGTTCTAGTTAAATATGGGCACTGGAGGGACCACATAATTAATTACTGAGGCTTCCTATTATGGAAATATTTCCAAATAATTAATTTGAATTATTCTTACCATAATAAATTACAAATCATTCCACTAAAAATTCGTAATTGCACTCCTCTATTTATATTTCGTAATTCTCCATTAAACACTTATGTAATTCCCCATGTTAAGATTTCAGATACTAATCAATAAATTAAATTACTGACGAATTTAACTTAATGATTAATTGCCTTTAGAGCACTACTTAACTTATTTCATGTGTCGGATTCATAAATCCACTTGCAAGGTTTGACACGATGAAAACTTATAAGTTTCTCAAAAAGGCATATCAATCAATCCCTATAATGAGACATGGATTTCATCAACTAACTTATTATTTCACCAATATATATTATTATCATCCAACTTACCAGGCATATTGACCCATCTCAGAATCTCACCTTTTAATAAATCAAAACGATAATTAATATATACAGATCATAATAGTTATATCAGGATTAAGAATATAAGTACATTTAATAGTTTAGAGAATATGTTTTGTCAGTCAGTCTAAAATAACTATCTCTACTCGGTCCCGTTCAATACATACAAAATGCACTAGCACAAAAAGTTGGAACTATACCGTTCCAATAATCAAGATAAATTACCTATAATCTTGTGCTACAATCGTACCGATGGCATGTCCAATTTCCATCCTAGATTGTGAACAAAAAACTTTATACTTATAAGAGCCGATGATTTAATCCTCTGTGTATAAGTTAAAACTCTACACACTAAATCATCTACTATATAAGTAAATAGACACCATAAACGAATATATGATCTATTAAAATTGAGCAAATATTTATTCTATAATAAATATTATTTCTTAACACATGGTTAATAGTATATATCCCAACAATCTCCCACTTAGACTTTTAACCATCACAATTGTTATAATGTACTATATCTAAAAGCATGGTTAATAGTATATATACCCTAACAATCTCCCACTTAGATATTTAATCTTGAAAACTGTTAGAATACTATGTCTAAACACATGATTAATAGTATATACCCTAACAATCTCCCACTTAGACTCTTAACTATGTATTTACAACTTTCACAAGCATTTATTTATTTCTATTTTCTCATGCAATTTTGTCTAGTAGTGCTTCGTCATAACAAATCGATTTTGTACTAGATCTTGAGAGAGCTTCTCATGAAACCTTCCAAGAGTGTACTTCTTTTCGGATCATAAAAGTTCTCTCAAGCATACAAAACAAATCAATCTTCGCTATGATTCTCCCACTACGACTAAGCACTACATAATCACACTTTCATGATCTTGAGTCTTAATATTTTCTTCAAAATCTTTTGATATTGAAATATTAACAAATTTTCATGTAGTGTTCTTCAATTTGCTCAACATCACTTTCACTACTTGAGGTAGTAATTTTCTGATGTCTAG